AAAAAAAAAGACTTGAAACACAAAAAACAATTGATCAACAAAACAAAATTACTTAAATCATCCGTTCTATCAGTAAACGCGTGTCGTGAAATTGTCGCAAAAACGACAATTGCTAAACTTCAGCTTGGCTCTCCCGGCGCCATACACGATTTGTGAAAAACTTTTCCTGCCAGTGGCGGGTATCTTTACCCCACCGTGGCAAAGGGCGTTGGATGCCGCAGATAAAGATGGAAGGGAAGAGGGAAGAAGTAACGAGAGGTGCTATATATAGGTTTCGGGCGGTAGGAGAGAGAGTTCGAAGGAGGGGGAGGGGCTGAGTGAGTGGACTGGACAGCTACCACATTCCCCTTCGTAGCACTCAGTCGCAGCATAACTGAGCTCCAATTTTCAAGTTTGTATCTGTCTTCTTTACTACATCTGTGTATCGTCTTTTCATAGGGAACCCAAGCGATTATTTTTCCCCAAGCACGGCACCTAGAACTCCCTCGGTCAATTTCAACTGCACTGTGATAAAAAAAAAAGAAAATTTTTCGAATTCTTACGTCGGCAAATTGTGTTTCACTGCACTTGCTAAAGCACCATCGAATGCAATATAGTGGCGTATCACATGCCTTTCCAACCAACCATCATCACGTAGCTTCGAGATTTGCGCCCACAGACAATACAGATACTCTTCTTGCTCATTCTCTGTTGCTGACCAAACTTGCAATAACTGCAATGAAAAATCAAATAAAAAAAAAGTTACAGATCTGGCATTTTTTGAGAAAAATGAATAATGCGACATAAAAGATAAACGCTATTGTCATGCAGTAGACGATGGGATCTACTCTGCCAGTGACAGAGGGATCTACATCATCTAAAATTAAAATTACAGTGAAACAAACAATTTTTTTACGGTTCGAACAATTCAAATACAGTCCAAGTGGTCGGCTTCGTTCAAATAAGATAACAAAAGATCCTCCTGTCAAATTCGCCCACCATGTGTTGATTATTAAGTTGGTGAACTAGGTACCGTTACATGCTAGGTATGTCGAAACTTCAATGGTTGACTTGGAAGCAACTTTTGAAAGATAAACTCTGCCAGCAGTGGAGTCACACTGGGGAGCGTGGCAGACGCATTTCTACCGGACGCTGTTGCCAAAATTCCATTCCGAAAAGTGGAGGAGTTGGCAAAAGCGACAACTTTGTGAGATTCCGACGAAAGAGTGGAGATAAAAGAAACACTTTCGCGGAAGGACCCGTTACCCGCATATGACATTATGCGAATGCGCGGCAATTATTAAAATTCAGCATGGGCGGGCATTATACACAGTTTGCGAGAAATTCCTCCGGGCATTAGTGGGTTGGGCTACCCAATTCGAGTAGCAGGAGTTTGAACGTGGTAGGGGAATTCCGAACGATGAAGTGCCCTTCTTCCCGAACGATGAAGTATTTTCCTGCCCGGAAGAGCAGTCGTACAAACAAATTTTAAAATAAGATTTTATGACTTGTTAAAATTTGAATCTGACATTACCTTGACATAAGATGTATTCCTTTTCGCCATATATTTACTTATGCCTGCCAGAATGTTATCCAGTGGCTCCTTCTCGCGTTCGTTCAATTCTGGACCAACCCACGGAAGGCTGTGCAAAACAGCATAAACAAACCAATCACTTCGGACCTGAAAAATGACATTTTCGGGCAAAAAACACAATCGCAGTTCTTTTCTG